AAAAAAAAAAATAAAAGATTTCTAAAAATAAAATCAATACGAAATTTTGTTTTTGAAAATTTACTTCTCGATTAGCATAATATGTCATAACAAGAGTATAAGGTATAGATGTTAATGATGCCATACCAAGACCAGTTAATGATGCCATTATATTAACAATAATTATATTTCTTGAAATATATGTAACAAGCATAGATAAAGCAAAAATAAACATACCAAATGAAAATGTTAAATGAATACCAAATTGATTAATTAATGGTTTAAGTAATGGAGCATAAAGTGCACCAACAATACAATGAAATAATAAACCATATGAAGCAGCACGTACACCTTGATCATATCTAATACGTTCAACAGATGATTCATCAGCACTTGGATCACCATTATAAATAGTTTGACCAACAAAATCAGTAAAAAATAAATTAAATGTCATCAAAGCCGACCTAAATATTTCATGAAAATAAAAAAAAAAGTCATTTAAAATAAAAATAAATTTACAAACCATGAACAACATTCAGCAAGTGTTAAACGACGTAAAACAAATGGCATTGTTATAATAGTTTTAACTGAATTTGATATTGTATAAAAAACATATTTTAAAAAATCAATAGGAAATAAACTATATATTATTTGTGTATCACTAAATGATATTTGTTCATCAAGACTATCATAAACTTTTTCATTAGCTGAGATTAAAGTACTACAAAGTGTTATAGTAAAAAATAATAATATAACAATAAATGTTAATTTTTCTTGTCCTTGTAAATAGTTACTAAGAAATGATTCAGTCCAATCGGTTGCTGTGATTAAATAACCTAAACATCCACCTATAGAAACAAAAAAAAAAAAACTTTTTTGTTATTAATTTTAAAATTCATATTTTTTTTTTACCAAATGACGTCATGAATGAATAAACAAAAAAACAGGAATTTTCTTGAGGTGTACCTTTACATACATCATAAATTAATGATTCGCATGGATTAAAACAAGCTTGAGCAGAAAAATCGAATAGAACACAAGTAATAACTAATAAGTAAAGGCCAAGTTTTGGTGCACGAAGAAGTTCACCTAAAATAAAAATATTTTAAAAGAAATTAAATCGAAGTCTTGTTTTTTTTTTTCTTTGAATCGTTTTACCTATTGCTTCACTTTGTGGAATTAGTATAAGACAAAAAATAATTGTTAAACAAAAACCAACTATAAATGGACGACGTTTACCATAACGAGATCGACAACGATCACTTGCATGACCAACAACAGGACAAAGAAGAAATCCTAATAATGGACCACAACCCATTAACCATGTCATTAATGATTCTGAAATTCCTGCTTTGAGTAAAATTGGTGGGATATAAGTAAACGCAGATGCAGTACAAAATTCTAATCCACATACAAGAGACGTAATAATTAATAAATGATGTAAATCATTATTACATATTGATTGTAAATATCTCGTATTCATTATAAACTCATGAAAATCATGAGGTAATTCTTATTTGTCGTTGATCACAAGGTTATATTTATCAAGGAAAGTGAACATATTTTTTTTTGTCTTATGCATGTGCGCATTAATGCAGTCGTTTTTTTTTTTCGTGTCGTGTTCTATTGTAAATATGTACTTATGATTGTGTGATGCGGTCACTGAAAGAAAAAAAGTTACTTGTCAGAACGCGAGAAAGAAAGGAGAACAACAAACGAGCCATAACTCACTGAACAGCGGGAAAGTATAGATAAAAATACATTACTAATAAAAAGAGAATACGGCCAATGGGTTCTGTTTATATTCTACAGTTCTGTTTTTTTTTCCTTCTACTCTTATAAAATAGAATATCAGTATATCTACAATTGGTTCGATGCGAACTAATAGATGCAGCTGTTGATTTTATTATGTACTCATTATAATGTTTATATTGTTATCTTATATTGACTTTTTTCAAGTTTGCTTTATTATTGAATTATTTGAATGTATGTAATATTCTCATAAGACTGTAAAAAAAATGTTTGAATAATTTATCATTAAATTTCATATACTTATTCTTTGTTTTTTTATTATCATTCAACAATATGCAAACAAACAAAAATAAAACAAGAAAAAATTGTTTGAATCTTTCTTTTTTGATTTTGAAAAAAAAAAATTATTTTATTTAAATATCAATTAGGTGGATGACTAACAAAATATGATCGATTTCCATATGGCATTGGTGGTGCTTGAGCAACACGTAAACCATGTTTCGGAGTATGAATATCCATTGTTGGATAAACTGTAGTAATATGTTTATGAAATTTTATTCTACATACAATAAAAATAACAATATAAATAATAGTTAAAATAAAAGCTAGACCAGCACAACCAACTTGAATTAAAAGTAAAAATTTTTTTGAATCATAAATTGTATAATTTGAAAATTGTGGAATCTTTTGTATAATATAATTTAATGATGTTAATTGTGATTGTGTTGAACATGTTGATGTTAAAAGACATGTATATGGATTAAGAATAAATACAATATCAAATGCAATTAATATACCAAGAGCTATTAATGTTATCCAATGCCAAACAAATGAACATGTTGATACACTAACTGTAGTTTTACAACATACTAAAAAAACAAAGCAAAAAATTAATCTATTGAAAATTTGATTTTATTCAAGTAAAATACCATGAACAAAGATTAAAATCCAATTAACTAAAAGTATAATCGATGTCCAAATACCACCAAAGATATTTGTATGCCAAAAATCTACGAGAATATTAAAAATTTCCGTTACAGCAATAGCCTAATATTAATTGAAGTTTATATATAGAAAATATATTAAAAAAGAAAAACAAGTGTACCACTGCAAGTATAATTTCTACTGTAGCAATACACGCTAGAAAACATCTTGGCCATGAACGTTTCCATAAAAGATTTCGTTCAAATTGTGTTTGGACTTCGGGTTCGACAATCATATTTCGTTAAATGACTTTATTTTACTTGTCGTTTGTCAATTGATTCAATAGAATCAAACACTGACGTAGCGATAAAATTTTTTTTCCTTGTCAAACAATAACAAAAGCAATGCCATTTAGTTAAAAAGAAACATATTTTTTTTTTGTGTTTGATTCTTTCTATTATTTTGATACTTATACATTTTTTATATATCACTTGAAGTGTACACTCATTTGTTCATGTGTAAATGAATGGATTGGTCAAGATAGAAACAAAAAAATAGAAGATTTGAGAAGAGAAAATAATTTGCCGTAGTTTGGTTTTATAAAACGTGTGTTCAATAGTATTAATTAATCATTTTCTGGAAGACGATCTAAAACCAGTGTCGAAGTATAGGAGTAAAAATTTCGATTCCACCCTGCTTCAGGAACTAAGAATTTTCTGCCTTTCGATTACCTAGCAGCAGATTCATTAGCCCAATATCTTCCCTACAACTAATAGCTTTGGATACAAAGCCAATCGGACGCAGAGCTTTTACATTCAATTTCTTGAACTTCTCATACACACTAACTAACTCCAAGAACAGATTGTGCGTCACAACTTGGCCAACATTCGATTGGATGGATGATCTGAGACAAACAGCCGTTAGTGACTTGTTCAAGACTATTTCATGACTGATGGTTCCGAAGTTTGAGTAGAGTATCTATTGTATACGTACCAAAACAATGCAGCCACTCAGTAATGATGACTTCCTCTCTCACATGTGATAGACACAACATAAAAACATCATACACTGTGAAAGATATTCTTGATATACGATCAAAGACCATATTTTTGTTGGTCATCTCTGCTTCTCGAAAAAAGTACAACTGATCTGCATAAAACTTTCATTATAGATACAGCACGTAAAATAAGAAGACACATATTCGAAGAAAAAGATTTTTAACAAGGTTTTCGCAGTTTTTTCTAGAAACTCTGGTTTTTCGTAGAACAACATTGAACCCGCTTTTATGACCCCCGTCTAATCTTGTCTTCTGATTGAGCTAAAAATTTTTTTGAAAATACCTTAGACAATATCTCAGATGTGATTTTAAGCTCTTTCTCCGGATAGGAAGATCAAAAATGAAAATGGCTGATTTCACCTCTGGAGAATATTTCCAAGTATTTGTGATCGAAATTTCAGCTCGATCAAACAAAATTAGACGGGGTCATGAGCGAGTTCGATATGATCCTATGAAAAACCAGGGTTTTCCTGAGAAATCATGAAAATCTTGTTTAAAATTTTTCCTCCGAACATGTCTCTTTTTATTTTAGGTGCTCTATCTCAGATTAAAATTTCATGCGAATCGATAGTATCCTCTTCGAGAACTAGAAATGACCAAAAACAGACGAAGTACTCTGAAGTAAAAGGATGGTAAAGAAATGTATTCCATAATGGATAGAATAAAACAATCTCTGATTAAGTACATCAGTATTTAATAAAACAAAGAAATCGTATAGTTTATAAATTCTAAAAAGAAAGCATTCCTCTTATGAATTAGACAACTTTTGACAGACTATACTATTGTCAAGCAAATGTTTATTTAAAATTACTACGTAGCAAAGGTCAGTGTAATACATTTTTGGATTATTAGAAAAGAAGCATAGAAAACGTCTCTATAAATGCGCTGAATTTGACTACATTGCATTGAGATTATACTTGATTTGTTTTTTTTTTCGTACACATGCATGAAAAGACACATGTTCAGATGTTTAATGATTTCTAGATTGTATATACTCATCTATTGAGCTCATTTTATATAATTCAATATCAATAAAAATTGAATGAATTTCTTCAAGTCCACATTCACCTGGGAAAAGATTTTAATGAACTTCAGTTCTGTTTTTCTATCATCGCATCTTGATAATAATTACTAACAGATATATGATGCAATATGTCATAATCAAAGATTGAATCTGATCATGTACATAATGTTCATATATCCTCAGGAGAACCAAATAAACTGTAATAACACACTTCTCGTTAGTATCATTATGGAAATTAGACAATAACTAATGGACTGATATTAGTCTCAAAGATATCAATATCAAGAATAAGTATATAATTTGAGTTAAATTGACGATATCGTATATAAAAGCCTAAGATTGGATCTTTGACAAAGTTTAACCCATGTTTTATCACAAATTGAATTAATTTCAATAACTAGAATATTTAAAAATAAAGGAAATAAATGAACCACTAGATTCAAATATTCTCGAATTTTATCATTATTTATTTTTTTGACATGATATATTCATCGAACTACAGTTGAAATTGTGTGAACAAAAATTATAAAAATAGTACTTGACGAAGTAGATCTTATTGAGAAGATTTACATTCAACACGTAGCCATGTATCAGAGACTCTCTATAAACAAAATTTATGAAGTTTTTGTTTAAGTTATCAATATGTTTCTGAAATTTATGTAGGAAGAGCAGATGATATTGATATAGATAATGGATTTTCAGTTTTTACATGTCATATCAGAGTGATAAGAAAGGGTACGAAAGATATAAAGAAATAAAAATAAAATAAAAACATATTACATCCACACCCTAATATTTTTATTTTGTTAGTTTGGTGGTGAGAGCTTTCATTTGACTCGAATATGTCCCATCTT